AAAAAAAAAAAATAAAAAAAAAGACTTTTTTTTTTTAATTAGTTTAAACTTAACTATTTTTTCCCTTATTTTTCCCACCAACCCTTTTTAGAATTAATTAATTATATATTAAGCAACATATAATAATAAGAATGCCATCATTAAAGCAAATAAACCTGTAGCTTCTGAGAAAGCAAAACCTAAAATAGCGTAAGAGAATAATTGACCTCTGAGAGTAGGGTTTCTAGCTACACCTAATATTAATGCACCGAATACAACACCTATTCCAACTCCAGCTCCAATTAAACCTGTTGTAGCTAATCCAGTACCAATTATTTTTGCTGCTTGTATCATGTCTAACATTTTAAACTTTACACTAGGGGATCCCTTATCTAATAATTAATACTTAAATAAACATTAAGTAGCAAGCTTAAACTTTCATTAAAAGCCCATAAGATGAATCGAACATCTATACAAATATTAACAGTATTTTGCTCTACCGTTGAGCTATATGAGCGGTATTCTTATCCTAGATTCGAACTGGGATCAAAATATTAGAAGTATTTTGCTCTACCATTGAGCTAATAAGAATTAAAAGTATGTACAAGACTCGAACTTGTATTACCGTAGCCGTATTACAGGATTTTACCCTTAAATTAACATACTAAAAGGTACAAGACCTGTATTTTTCCCATTAAATTCACATACTAAAAGACACAACAGCTAACCTAATAAAAATATTAGTTATAAATAATTAAATCTACGTTTTAAGACTATATTTATAAAATAAAATTAAAATATAAACTTAAGATTGTATAGGTAAACTTACAAAAGCGTGAGGTTTAGGTGGACTATTTAAACATCACTCTAAAGAACTATTATTTCTATTAAATAATGTTTGAAATAAATCACTAAAGAACTGTGGTGTTAATCAAGGATATCTAGATACTGGTGAACCTTGAGTTAATTGATGATATAAGATATTTAAAAAATATCAAGTAGCTACAACACTTATGATTGAACCAAAACTACTTATAATATTTCAACCAGCAAAAGCATCAGGATAATCACCAATTCTTCTAGGCATACCTTGTAAACCTAAAAAATGTTGAGGGAAGAAAGTAAGATTAACACCGATAAATAATATTCAGAAATGTACTTTACCAGCAAATATGTTATAAGATAAACCTAAAATTTTAGGTATTCAGAAATATCAACCGCTATATAAAGCAAATACTGCACCCATAGATAATACATAATGAAAATGTGCAACCACATAATATGTATCATGGAAAGCAATATCAAGTGATGCATTCGCTAAAACTACTCCACTTAATCCTCCAATAGTAAACATAACTACAAAACCTAACGCAAATAACATAGCGGGTGTTAAATGTATAGAACCTCCATAACATGTTGCTAATCAACTAAATATTTTTATACCTGTCGGTACAGCAATTATTAATGTAGCAGCTGTAAAATAAGCTCTTGTATCAACATCTAATCCTACTGTATACATATGATGACTTCATACTACAAAACCTAAAATACCTATCGACATCATGGCATACACCATTCCTAAATAACCAAATACATTTTTACTTGAACTAGCTGAAATTACAGTACTAATAATACCAAAACCAGGTACAATTAATATATAAACCTCAGGGTGTCCAAAAAATCAGAAAAGATGTTGATATAAAATAGGATCACCACCACCAGCTAATTCGAAGAAAGATGTATTGAAATTACGATCAGTTAATACCATTGTGATTGCTGCAGCTAATACAGGTAAAGATAATAATAATAATACAGCTGTAATTACAACAGCTCAACCAAATAAAGCTAATTTATGTAATCGAATACCTGGACTTCTCATATTAATTATTGTAGTAATAAAATTAATAGCACCTAAAAGAGAACTAATACCACTTAAATGTAAACCAAATATAGCTAAATCTACACTAGGTCCACTATGACTTTGTATACCAGATAATGGAGGGTAAAGTGTTCAACCTGTACCAGCACCATTTTCTATAACAGATGCAAGTAAAAATAATAATAAACTAGGTACTAATAATCAAAAACTAATATTATTTAATCTTGGGAATGCCATATCAGGACCACCAACTAAAAGAGGTAATAAAAAATTACCAAAACCACCAATTAAGGCTGGCATAACCATAAAAAATATCATTAAAATAGCATGAGATGTTATAATACTATTATATAATTGATTATCTGCAATATATTGTATACCTGGACCAGATAACTCTAATCTAATTAAAACAGAAAAAGCTGTACCTATCAAACCTGAAAATAAAGCAAACATTAAATATAAAGTACCTATATCTTTAGCGTTTGTTGATAAATATCATCTTTCTTTTCACATAGTTATATTAAATAGTTTAATAAACACAATATTAGCTTTATTTTTATTTGCAATATGCAAAATTAAAAAAAAAAATGTCCCTCCTTCGGGAAGGGTGGATACCTTGAATCGAACAAAGATTGACTGTGCCACATACAGCTGTTTTACCTTTAAACTATATCCACCTAACCTGAGGAGAAATTCGAATTCTCATTCTTAATTCATGAAATTATTGTTCTACCTATTGAACTACTCAAGCGGGGTAATATTAATTATATTTTACTAGAATTAATACCTTATGTTGGAGCGATTCGAACACTCAATAATAAATACCAAAAATTTATGACTTACCTATTAGTCTACAACATATATAAATTTTATATAATATTAAACTAATATATATTAATAATATAATCTCTAATAATAATATTAAGTACTATACTAAATCTTTCATTGAAAAATTTAAGGTTGATAAGTTATTATAATTTTTAATACAACCTTTGTATAATACTTTTACAGATAATAAGACTTGAACTTATATGGCTTACGCCCTTCCGACCTTAACGAAAGCTGTCTACCAATTTCAGCATATCTGTTTTAATTTTATAAATACAAAAATAATTTAGTTATATATTTTAAATTACAAAATTAAATATAGTTATTTAATTTATTTTTTTTTCAATTAAAAATTAAATTACCTGATTTTTGTCAGATAATATGCTCGAAATAAGACTTGAACTTATAACCTAAACATCTTCAATGTTCCGCTCTACCAATTGAGCTTTTCAAGCTATGGAGTTATCAGGGATCGAACCCGAATAAAAGACTTGCAAAGTCCTTGTTTTACCAATTAAACCATAACCCCTAAAAATATCCGAGGAACGATTCGAACGTACACGGTTTTCACCACTTAATTTTAAGTTAAGACTGTCTACCTATTTCAGCACTCGGATTAAGGCTAAAATGATTTGAACATTTATAAGAGCTATTATGAGCAGCTGGCTTTACCATTAAGCTATAGCCTTATAATACGGACTTAGGATTCGAACCTAAATAATTTGGTCATGAGTCAAATATGTTACCATTACATTAATCCGTTATAAGAAATAAGTGACTTGAACACTTAACCAACCACGTGTAAAGTGGTTGCTCTACCATTGAGCTAATTTCTCATAACCCAAGAGAGATTTGAACTCTCGCACTAACAGTGAAAATGTTATGTCTTAACCTACTTGACCATTGGGTCAGCCCAGTGCAAGTATCGCACTTACTTCTACCGATTACAAAACGGTTACATTTCTTTTATGTTAACTAGGCTAAAAAAAAAAAATAATATAAATATGTGTTATATTAAGTAAACTAATTAATTAGTACTTTATGTCTAAAAAAAATTAAATTCTTACAACTAAAGCCTATTTCGTAATAATATATTACGTTTATTTAAGAGTATTATATAGTAAACTTCGCGCTTAAATGCTTTCAGCACTTATTTTTAACTGACTTAGCTTTCCTGCCATGCTTATTATATTTCTTTACTTTAGTGAAAGTAAATTAGTTATTAATAGATAAATATTAATAGATAAATATTAATAACATTAATAAACAACAGGTAAACCATAGGTCAACATTCCCAACTCCTTTCGTACGAAGGGACTATCTATATTTTACTCTCTTTCCCCTAGAAGATATA